CGTTACCAGCATGAGTTATTGGGACGCTACAGATGACGGCAAGAAAGGTTCCGCCTGTAAGATGCACCAGTCTATGAGGGTCGCGTTGGGAAATAAAATTCTGGGAATTCTACAATAGAATATGCGCGACTTGGAAATTCGGAGACAGTGTTTTTATTCATCCATCCGATACTCCCTCCCGAACAGCTGTTCCCACCGCTCCCTCGAAGTAGGTATACATATTAATTTTAGTCTATATAACTACTTATTTCAATCTAACATGTTTCAATTTGATATATTTCAATTTAGTATGCTTTCATTTAATATAATTTAATATTATACTCCTTTTTTATATGATATACTAGACAACACCAGGTCCCCTGGTGTTGTGCGACTAATTAGTTTTTGTACAGTGAGAGTGGATCTAAAATACTGCCGGGCAATATAGTATTACCTAATCGCCCCTACACGCCCGGGCATCCACAGCCCGACCGGTACACCGCTCTACGTACCACGTGGCAGCAGCCCTCTTAGGCGGAATATCAACCTTTTCTTCCTCTTTGCTTCCACCATAATAACTAATAACATGTCATGCTTACCCCAGTAATCTAGAGCGATAACATGACTTGGTTTTGCTTTTTCTTACTCTAGTTTTACACCCCGCACTATCGGTCCCCAGTGCTATAGGATGTGTAACATCAACATCAACAAACCTTCGTAGCGCTGATATCAAGAGCTACAGGGACGATCCTTCTAATAGTACCGGTATCGAGTGCTGCAGGACGGCTGCATCAACATCGATAAACCCTGCAATGCCGGCGTCTCCTGCAGGAGTAATTTCCCAACCCTGTCACACACCAACCATCATTGCAGCCACCCAGAGCCGTGAGACCTTTAGCCCGACCGATACCACCCACCACCAATGCCGACATGAACACTTTCGTGAACTCAATAACGGGTAACCGTTTCGATGGATCCATCTGAGTAATCAGAATGTATCTATCCACCTATGTAGGCAGACCAGACACTAACACCACACCTATCGATAACACACTACCCCGGAAACCAGTGTATGTACTTAGTTTTCCAAAGCTATGACTCCAGCACACACCTTCTTGTGAACAATGTCTTCGTGATCTTCATTCCTTTTTTTTTTTTTTTATTCCACTACGGAGTAGATGTTTCCATCTCGGCCGGCGCGGCCCGCTCGTCGGTGAAGGTATAGTGGGTTGTAAGGATGCTTATCCATCGCATTTACTGGTAGACCTGGTACGTGCGCGGAAAAGAAGAGTGAAATTTATCCTATGATAAGCAAGATGTCACGTATTTGTTTTTCAATCATCCAACTGATCTTTGTAGATAAAGGGCAATATCAAAATCATCAAAGTGTGTTCTCACTTGGTTACTAGACTAGCGGCCCCGAAACTTGGCAAGAAGCGGTATGAGGATTCACGTGTTTTCTAGAGTAGTTCACAATGTAGTGTATATGGGATGCTTGCGTAGAAAAACTCGAAATGAACGAGAGTAAAGGGTTGGGTGGCCCCCTTGAGACTAGACCTGAAACATTTATGTCCACAGCGACCTGGAACTAACATCATTAAGTAAAAACTAGAGTCGCTAAACCCTAAATTGCTGATCCTTATAGGACCTTATTGAATATGTCTTAAATCAAGCGCCCTAATAGAGAATAGATCGCTGTAAAGGTAATATAAAACATGTGTTTTCTTCCTGCGTGGCTTGGCCTTCTTCCTCATTGGGTTACTCACACCCTACAATTCTCCCTCGACCTTTTACAAGTCTCCACGAGCTGGAACCCGCACAAAACTTTGTGAAGAGATATTGCAATTACTAGCTGTATTCATTCATGATGCCGCAATTGTGCGGTCTGCTGATAGGATATTCGGATAATTTTCGGGTCCACGCGGGTGAAATTATGCCTGTCGTGGATCTTTTACTACCTTCGGAAGACAATGCTTTGGATAGTTACACTATACTATACCTCTGGGTTTGTAGTGTGGATCATATATTAATGACCCGCACAACTGATCCTCATCTTGTGATAAAGGTAGACAGAAGGATCATCTGCTAAATTCCGCATTTCCCGCGGTGTTCACTTGGCTACAAATAATATAAAATGGCAGTCTGATAAGCAAACAAATATTCCACAAAAGAGAGACGAAGGTACCACATTTACATTTCTTCTTGGCCCTTATTCCTCCTTGTCCTAGTGCTAGATGATTCTTTCCCGACTACACCTTGCTATCTAGAAAGTGGCCATCAAGCAATAACGATGGCTAAGGAAGTGACCCTCGTGGAATATCTTTTCCTCAGACTGCATCAGCTTGGAGTACGCAGTGTTCACGGTGTTCCTGGGGACTACAACTTAGTTGCTCTAGATTATGTTGAACCTTCAGGGCTACACTGGGTTGGTAATGCCAATGAACTCAATGCTGGATACGCAGCCGATGGCTACGCGAGAATCAAAGGGCTATCAGCATTGGTAACCGCATTTGGAGTTGGAGAGTTGTCTGCCCTAAATGCAGTCGGTGGAGCATATGCAGAGAAGGCCCCGGTGGTTCATATTGTCGGTGTCCCATCGACCGCATCCCAAGATCAGGGCCTTTGTCTACACCATTCATTTGGAGACGGAAATTTCCGCCTGAATGCAGACGTTTACGCCAAGTTCACATGTGCTCAGGCAAATCTGAGAGATAAAGAGGTTGCGCCTGCTTTGATTGACGAGACTCTGCGCCAATGCTTGCTCCAAAGCAGACCTGTATATATTGAACTACCTACGGACCTGATCAAGGCTGGGATTCCAGCTGCCAAACTCGAACGACCAATTGATCTATCTGTTTCTCCGAATGATGCAGTTATCGAAAATTCTGCCATTGAAGATATCCTCAAGCGATTGTATGCTGCCAAACAGCCCTTCATTATTGTCGACGGCTTTGCCCCTCGGTATGGAATAAGCTCTGAGGCGGATGAGCTCGTTCGTGTCACTGGATTTCCAACATCAACTACGCCATTTGGGAAAGGAATCATCAACGAGACATATCCGAACTTCCATGGTATTTACGCAGGGGCTGCAGGCAAAGAGGTATATGTGCCTTGGGTAAACTCCTGTGACCTCGTTGTCCGCATTGCACCGTTGAATGCAGACACCAACACCTACAGCTTCACTACATTGACGAAACGCAACTTGACTATTGTGGTGCACCAAAACGGGGTCGAGGTCTGTGGAGCGTTCTATCGTGATCTGAACACCAAAACCCTCTTGCGGAAACTGCTTGATCGACTGGATAAATCAAAGCTGCCGCGACTCAGCCCGTACCCGGACCTCGGGGATCCTAAAAAGCAGCTCTATGACTTAGCAAAACCGGCCCGCGATGCAATCATTGACCAGAATACTTTCTGGCAGCGCATTTCAAAATTCTTCCGCTCTGGCGACATTCTCATGACCGAGACCGGCACCTCGTCTTCCGGTGGACGAGACTTCGTCTTGCCTCCTCAAACAACAGTGATCAACTCCGCTCTCTGGCTTTCGATTGGGTATATGCTTGCGGCATGCAGCGGTGCGTCCCTCGCTCAGCGCGAGATGATCTCGGAAAAGAGCCGTCCGGCCGGTCGAACGATTCTGTTTGAAGGCGACGGCAGTCTCCAGATGAGTGTACAGGCTATTGGGGACATCATTCGCAACCGCTTGGATATAACTATCTTTGTGATCAATAACAATGGGTACACCATTGAACGCTATATCAACGGCATGCAGGCAGGATACAACTGGGTTCAGCCCTGGCGATATCTGGAGTCCGCGCGGTACTTTGGTGCTCCCGAGAACGATCCCGAGTACCCGGTGTTCAATAAGCGAGTCGAAAACTGGGGCGAGTTGTTGGATGTCATGCAAGATGAGCAGCTGAAAGCTGGCAAGGGTTTCAATATGGTTGAAGTTATCATGCACGAAGAAGACGCGCCGACATCATTGAAGAACCTTGTGCGAATGGCAGCGAAGAGAAATGAGGGAGGTGCTGAGACCACACCGGCACGTCAAGAGTTAAAGAAGTTAAAGAAGAGGAGGGACAGAGATGGCGACGTCGTGGTTGATTCTACTCCACGTAAGGTAAATAAGAGAAGGACAAAAATCAGAATTGGCTGATTTGAACCTTTCATCCCAATCAGCAAGTACCATTTCTTTGAGTAATGTCATAGACTTGCCTCTTTCCAGACCTTTCGATAAGCCTAATATACCCGTGAGACCTTAATTGTACACGTTTCCCTCATCTAGTGGTATTAAAATACAATCTGTAAAAGTCGCATGTCCAATCTCATTATAGCCTTCTGACGGCGCAAGAATCACGCCCCATACAGAAGGTTTATCAGAGACTTGGCCTCCAGGAGGAGGGACGAAGAAGGGAGTACTTGTTCAGGGATGGTAAATGGTGGGACGAAGTGCATTTGGGGGATTCTCGAGAATGAGTGGCAGAGAATCAGACGGGTACAGGTCACCATGTCAATATTTGCATAGTATACTGTTTCTGCGGAGAATCACCTGGGAACCAAAGTCATAAATAGAGATACCAGTGTACTCATTTCATTCAGTACTCTTGTTGATGTGGACACTTGATTTATCAGGCCATGTTTGTCAGGCTACATAAGTAGCTCTCTGTATGTTTGTAGAAATCTACTTCTCTCTCTCTCTCTCTCTCTCTCTCTCTCTCTGTCTGTGATAGCTTCACCAACTCTTGACCGTTGTCCACTCAACAAAAGGCCAGCATCATCATCAATGTGGTAATCCGCACATGGCAAATTCGCCCCTCAACGTCTTCCGTGCGATACCTTTTGACTCCTGGGAACGTGGTCCTGCTACACTATACCCTTCTACACTAACTCAGTAACCATTTCTGAAGCAACATCGAATACACTGTTCTTTTGTAAGCAAGGTTTGATGACATTATTTGCTCTCTACTGATCTCAGTCAAAGGGTCATAGGCACAAAAAACAGCCCCCATCAACAAAGACATCTATCCATCCAAGTTCTTCAGGTACCGATAGACCTCGACAAAGCTGATGAGCCATTCTTTCTCTATCTGATTGTGAGGCTCCCAATAAAGGGATTCTGACCGCCAGTACCCTTTCTTATCACCGAATTTGAGCGCAGTGAAATAGGGCCCCTCTAATGATACCTGTTCATTTCCACCAAACGGTTCGGACCACGGAGTATTTGCCGTTCGAAAAAGATCGCCATATTTGTTGGCTGTAGGCCTCCACGCTCGTTGCTTTGTCGTCTCCGGAGGCGAGATATAAAGTCTTGGCATTCCATCGATAATGGTTCGCACCGAATTGATGATAGAAGATGGATGTGAAGTGCCATCAGTAAGAGTGATTGTGTTGCTGGCCACAACCTGATCATCTGCTATCAGACCGTGCTTTTGCATCATGTGCAACAGTAGGTCCAAGGCCGAGTCGAACGGAATGATTGCCAGGAAGTCATAACCGAAATGCTCGGAAAAGACAAACTTCTCAACCGGAGCCCGCACGATTTCATCGGCACAATGCCGGAATCTCGACACGATATGTGCAGTATTTGGCCGAACTTCCTGTGTCGGGTCTAGTGTGCGCTTTAGGATATCCGAATTTGCTTCCAACATATCAGCGGTCCAGCGAAGCTCTGAAGCTCTCAACTGGAATAAATTGGCTTTTGCTTTCTGTATGCCATCCCAACATTTCTTCTGCTCTTCGAAAGAATGGATTGTCTTGAGATTTCGATCCTCCATGCCGTTGGAGTAATCAGGAGCACCGAATCGAGTCAGGTCTGTTTTGCACCAATGGGTATTGAGCTCATCATGAATGCGGTACTTCATATAGTCCCAGATATAAGTCTCTCCATACTTCTGAGGCACGATACAGTGGATATTTGTGCCAAGATAGTTCGTCCCACGCCAATGATCCTGTACCAATCCCTTTCCCACTGCCTTGAATATGTCTTGGTAGAGGTGGGCAGCGAATTTCCACTTGGCGAGAGTTTCCGGATCAGCACCGAACATATTGCCGCAGACTGGATGGGACATGATGCAGGCGTCCACTCGATCATTATCGTAGCATAGCAACTTGAGGACGTCCCATACTCGCAGGTCATCGATGATTTGATGAGCGAGCTCGGTCGGCATAGCCGCTATATTGCTGACTATGGAACTGGTTGGTTTTTCTTGGTTACCCATTTTGTCACGTCCGTTGTCTTCGAAAAATGGGAAGAAAAGCAAGACAAGGGAAAGATCACAAAATATCACAAAAGATCACAAAAGATCACAAAAGATCACAAAAGATCACAAAAGATCACAAAAGAATGTTATGGAGCCTCATGCGATGCGGCTACCTAGTTAGTGGGGGCCAGCAGCACTAGCCTGAGTCATTTGCGTTGAGTCATCCCAAGCGTCTACCTATTCATCTATGCCTTTCTATCCTGTTCTGTATTTTGTCCTGAGAAAAATTCAAACAACAAGATGAAGGAAGGACTCCCGGAATTGCATCTGCCAGATGCAGAGTCGATCGCACAGCGCTTGCGACAAGACCAACAAGCCTGCAGAGAGAGAAAAGTGCCTAGTAATCTAGCAATCCAACTATCTTCTCTTACAGAAGATATCTTTGATAAAGTAGCCTGGCATCTCACTCCACAAAGCGAAGTCTCCAAAGCATTGCGATCGACTAGATGCAAGAGCATCATCGAAGGGATCAAGGTCTACTTAGGCCAATTGGAAGTGATGACCAAATCTGAGGAACACATGTCCATGGACAGTATGCATGTCCCAGAATTGAAAGAGTTAGAGACAACACTCAAGGTGCTAGACTATCTTCAAAGGCACAAAGTGGTTGCTCCAACAGAACCTCTATCTGAAGTTCTTCTAGCCGTGCGAGGCCAACTATCCATGGACGACAATACTCGATACACACAACATGAAAGATCTCAAAGAAATGACACACCGAAAACCTCGGATGTGAAGAAGAGATGCTATATCTGTCGGTATCGCTTCTCGCCCACTGATTCTCACGAACTATACCCGTCACTATGTCGCCAATGCGGCATGTTTAATATCGGCTGCTCCAATCTCTCCCTACCAGGAAAGCTCGATCTGACTGGTAAAATTGCCCTCGTTACTGGTGGGAGAATAAACTTGGGTTACTCAACTGTATTGAGACTCCTCCGCTGTGGAGCCAAAGTCATCGTATCCTCTCGGTATCCAGCGGATGCTGCAGTTCGATATTCCACGGAGCCAGACTTCGCCCAATGGGAGAAAAGTCTGAAGGTAGTTGGTGCAGACTTCAGAACAGCAAATGATGCTTTCCGGCTGGTACACATTGTCAAACAATTACTCCGTGCTTGGGATGACGAGACTCCATCTGATACGTCAAAATCCCTGGACATACTTATCAACAACGCCGCGCAAACCCTCACCGATCCAATTAAGGGGGAGGTCAGAGCCATTTCCAGAGAGGACCATCTGAAAGAGCATCCCCAGACCATGGCTCTACTTGCAGAATCTGAGAACGACAGGTACACACCCCGCGTAAGAGGAGGACAACAAGCAACCTGGATCCCACGCATCGCGAACAACAAAGCCCAGGCACAAATCGAAGGCACAAGCAGTACCCAATCTACAAACCAAATTGCCACAAAAGGCCTTCGGACGACAGACAATGAAGACGAAGAGCCCTCAAAATCATCCTGGGTCCAATCCCTCCACGAAATCCCATACTCAGATCTAATAAGTGCCCACTCGGTCAACGCCTTCGTGCCTCTAATCCTCTGTCGCGAACTTCTTCCAGTTATGGGCACTTCACCCTCATCCTCCTCCCCCCTTCCCCCTCGGCTCCATTCACACCGGCGGGATACGTAATAAACGTCTCATCTCGCGAAGGAATACTAGAAGATACGACCCAGTCAAGAAGCAAAGCTGGACACCACGTACACACGAATATGTCAAAAGCAGCGATCAACATGATAACAGAGACAGAAGCACACGCTGCATGGAAGGGACGGCGTGTTGCTATGAATTCTGTTGATCCGGGGTATATGAGTGCTGCGCCGGAATGCCAGACTGACGAGGGATGTCCGATTGGGTTTGAAGATGGTGCTGGGAGGGTTTTGTGGCCTATTGCTGTTGGGGAGGTTGAGGGAAAGGCCGTTTGGGGGAGGTTTATGAAGCATTTCCGGGTGGGAGTTGCCATTACGGCCAGGGGGTAGAGCAGGTACATATCAATAGCTACAAGTTAGAAACATCACGAAGGATCGGAATCACAGAAAATTTCTCTCGAGATGATCCCATCTCCCGTTTTCCTACAAACTGAATGCTTGTTTGTTAGATTTAGTGTATTAGCTAAGAAAAAAGTCCTGAGGACATTATATTCAAGCTGCATCGGATTTTTCTTTTCTAAAACATTGGGCCACATCATGACAGAGCCCAATCAAGCATCGTTCAAGGTTGCAGCGAAGTCATTGAAAATAATCTGCAACCGCTGGCCCTCTTCATCCGCAACTTGGCTGTGGGTTTTGGCACTTCCGATTGGGTGGTAGGGGAATGGTCTAAGAAGTTAGCATTGAGTCCGCAGTCGGGGAATTATAGAGGACCAACCCATATTCTGGCACAAAAACAATCCTTTTGGTTGCTCCATCCTTGACGCGCGAACGGATGACATCTTTCCAAATCCTCTCGAAGCATTCTTTTTCTTCTCTGAAGACGGGGTTGGTAGGTTCCGGGCATTGTGATGCTTGTGTTGTTCCAATTCTTGCGTGAATATGGTAAACCTAACCCAGTATTAGAATCAAATAACCCGAAACCGGTGTGGGTGTCGCTTACATGCGGTATTATTGCGTCCATCATGACTTTATCGCCTTCGCTGAGGTCCAGAACTCTTTCACATCCAACCATCCAATGGGAGAAATCGGCCGTAATCCGAAGCCTAGGGTAATTTCAGCAATCGTTCAATGGTCGAATAATGTTAGGCAAAGTTTTTCCTACTCGGGGACAGCCTCTAGAATGCGTCGTGTGGCATATGGCGTGAAAAGTGATCGGTTTCTGTGAGTTTCATGGTAGACACGACCAGATATTCCAAGCTCGCTGTCAATCTGGATAGTCCCTTTATAAAATTTGATTGACTCCTCAACGTCCCAGAGGTCTCTTTAGGTAAATATCAGACAGAATATCCAATAATCAGGTTATAAGTTGTAACTCACTCGCCTGATTGGAAGTTCATAGTCGACGGCTTCAATTGCTGCACCGATTTGAGCAGGCTTCGATAATTTTGCAAGTGATGGTCTGCTTTGGTACCAACTGGGCGGGGTCCGAGATACTGAAACCAAGACGAGTGTATCCTATTACTCAAATTAGCAAGTTACATTTCCCCCTCTTAGAATGCCTCACTCACATTAATCCAAGCTCTAAGCCAGTCTGGTTGCATAGTTCCCTCAGACGAGGGAAGTCAGTACTTGGCTCCAGCGGATGAATATCCACTTCGACACCAGCTACCAAGACGATGTCAACAAAGTCTTCCAAGCGCGGGGAGATGTGCACATACTGTAACCTTGGGCTTTTAGTTCTGGAAACCATTGAGCCCAGTTGTCCATGTTCGGACCAGGAGCAATTCCCCAAGCAGATCGAAAACGGTCAATTTTCATGGTGTAGGATAAAAGCCAGATTGTGTGTATTGGAGAAGTTTCAATTGGACTGGAGAAACGAATTCATTTATGTTTTTAGGAAAGCCCAATGTATACTTCTCCTCGTTGAAGGTTCGTGTGCTGAATAGGTAAAGTTCCCCGCCCTAGTTCCAAGGTTAGGTACTCACCCGAACGCTGTCATTGGCTCCTTCCATTTTAGAGTGACCCCACTGCCAAGGCTCGATTGGTCCAAATCAAATCTCTTTCCGGGGGAAAATGCCACTTCGAGGATGAGACTCCCTGGAGATGCGGGGGATATTCGTAGTGTTGATCAAGGCAAAACAAATTCATTGCGTGCTGGGGTTTTTTCTTGAGAGGAACGCGGTATATTTTCCTCTCTCTCCACTACGCTGTGATTTAAGAAAGAAAAATTCCTTCATGCTCAAAGCTGAAGACGAAAGGAGTACAACATACAACCAACACGATAATACTAGCTGCAAGGGTACAAACCTTTCTGAACAAAATTGCACGCCTGAGGCTACGATTATTGGCCTTAAGAAATGATTTACTGGAAGAAATTAATAGAATTTAAAAGAATTTTTGGCCTACATATTGACGATGCTGATCATAGTACAAATCTCAATCGAACGTGTGGGAATCAGCTAATTCCCTCACAGCAATGAACCCCGATTCCAAAGTGCCTGCTTATGGTAAGGTGAGTGCTCCAGAAAAGGCAACATTCCCCGCGTCAACTCAGTGCGGGGATACTGCAGCTCCCCCTCATATCACTTTTATAGCAATGCAAATGATGAAATAAAGCTCCGCGTTAATGGCTAGGTACGCATTGGCTGAACTGTGAGCTACTGCTATGACAATTTCCTACAAATATCCAAACACCCCCGCCGAGTGTCGAGTGTGCGCCTCAACTCCTCACAATTTAATTGCCCCCACGAAACACAATCACAATGGCTACAACAACTATGAAAGCGCTAAACTACCTCGGGCCTTACCAGGTTCGGGTTGAAGATGTTGAAAAGCCGAAGATGGAACATCCTGATGATATAATTGTTAAGGTGACTACGGTGAGTGATGTGAAGACTCTGATAACTCGATAATGAAAAGCAAACTAATCGGGTATCAAGGCTGCCATTTGCGGTTCGGACTTGCAGTGGGTTTTCCTTCGCCATGCCCAAAGCGCTTATTTCTCCCATACTGACTATGATACAGTATGTACGAGGGAAGAACAGCCGCTGAGCCCGGGATTACATTCGGTATTACTTCCTCGCCTGAAAGACTTGAAAATTGTTACAAGCGCTAACCCAAGCGCAGGTCACGAAAACATGGGAATCGTGGAAGAATTGGGAGAGGGAGTTACACTGCTGAAAAAGGGAGATCGTGTCGTTATGCCCTTCAATGTCGCCGATGGTCGGTGTCGAAATTGTGAGGAGGGGAGAACTGCATTTTGCACCGGTGTCAACCCTGGGTTTGCTGGTGGTGCCTATGGTAAGACCTCAAACCTGGGCTCTAATTATGTTGCGTTAACGAGGCCTAGGATACGTCGCAATGGGTCCCTACCGCGGAGGTAAAATTTCCAGCAAAGATTTAATCTTGATACAAGACCCCTAACAGTGAATGCAGGCCAGGCACAGTACATTCGTGTCCCATACGCCGACTTCAATGCTCTTAAGTTACCCCCAGGTAAAGAGCATGAAGCAGACTTCGTTCTTCTAGCTGGTGAGTTTGATAATTTGACGTTCGTCTCTTCTCTTTTCCTTATACTAACGCATATTTTGTTAGATATCTTCCCAACCGGTACTATCAGACATATTATTCCCAGGATTGAAGTACATCTCTGACTCTCATGATATATCTATAGGCTGGCACGGTGTGGAAATTTCGGGTTTCCAAGCAGGTGAAAGTATTGCAGTATTCGGTGCTGGTCCCGTCGGACTGATGGCCGCATACTCCGCTGCTCTACGAGGAGCATCTAACATTTACGTTGTTGATCGCGTTGCCGAGCGACTCGATGCCGCCAAGAATATTGGCGCTATTCCTATAGATTTCACAAAGGGAGATGCCGTCGATCAGATAATCAGTCACAACGGGGACATGGTTGATCGCTCGGTAGACGCTGTTGGATACCAGGCTGTCGATTCGAATGGTTCTGCTGAAAAGGCGAATATCGTGCTCGAGAATATGATTCGGGTGACACGGGCTTGTGGTGGGATGGGAATCCCTGGATTATACGTTCCTAGGTATGTGAACTAAAATATTCTATTCTTGAGAACTTATCTAACGATTCTATAGCGACCCTGGTGCATCTGATGCTGCCACCGCAAATGGAATGATCAGCCTTAGCTTCGGAAAGTTGTTTGAAAAGGTAACGTCCTCTCTGCTGTTTCATTGGACCTATCTAACCTTTTGTAGGGTCTTTCTCTTGGTACTGGACAGTGTAATGTCAAGTCTTATAACCGATACCTTCGAGACATGATTATTGCTGGCAAAGCAAAGCCCAGCTTCGTGATCTCCCATGCGATTGCACTTGCAGATGCCGAGACTGCTTATGATAAATTTGACAAAAGGGAGGATGGGTACACAAAAGTTATCATCCACCCAAATGGTGGATTTTGATAAATTGCCTTCTGATGTCAAATAGCTATAATACACCAGATCTATACACTAAAGCTCTTGCCCACTTGTGCTAGAATACATCTGATTGAATAAACCTTCTCTAGCAAGAAGATTTTGTGGAGTGTCAAGCTCAAGACATCCAGCATCCAATACTGCAATTCTACAAAATCTATGATTGTATCAAGCTGTTCAATAATTAGCTTGCGTTTAGGTAACAAACGCAACAAGGAACATACTCTATGAGCGATGCTGAGCACAGTAAAGTCATGGAACGCCTCTCTCATGACTTTCTGCACTCGTCGGTCTGTTTGGGCGTCAAGACTGCTCGCGGCTTTATCCAGGATTAGCACCTAACATCCACCATCACTAGTTTATCTTTTAAGAATTGCCCGTGCCAGGCAGAAGAGTTGCTGCTCTCCTTGCGACAGTGGATGGTCCTCAAGGAGTGCGTCCAGGCCCCCGCGGCTTTCAATTGCTGCCCAAACGCGTATGTGCTTAGAGATGTTATCCAGAGCCAGGGCTCCATCATAATAGCGGAGAGAGAGCTCCTGTATATTAATCCCCACCCCCCCTTCTATCAGGCCATGATGTAGGCAGTTCTGCGGCTATACCCGGTTGGTCTTCACATAAAGTTGTCTCAATGAATGATTTGACACGGGCGATCGCTCCGAGTGACGTCTCAAGGTTAGTCCATGGTGTGATGAAGTACGACAACAATTGGTTGAATCCAAGGATATTGTTCAATGCGACGCCGAGGAGGCTCGAATCTGTACTGTTACGCAGCATGACAGCTAGTGTTACCACAACGGTTGCTAATGTCGTCACCACGATGTCCAAGACCAGATTCAACCATCTCTGCGCGCAAAGCAACATGTAGTACAACGACGGGTATCCTCATCCAAGCAGCATGAATAAATGACAGTTTTGTACCACTTCTCAACGACTTCGTGGTCAGAGATACCAGTTATGCTTTTCTTGATTGTTGTATTAAGCAACCATGAATTCTAGCTGCAATGGGATATTTTTCTCGAACTGATAGACACGGCGCCCGACAGACAACTAAGCTCCCCTGGGATGGTCTTTAGCAGTGTAGTTTTACCCGACCAACAGGCCCAGTAATTAAATGAAAAGTTTATCTGACCAATTTCAAACAGTAGTCATGTCCGGATCGCGTCTTTCGTTGACAACGAAACAGATGGAGTAGTCGCGGTGGTCCTGCCAGTAGTAGGAACGTCGAAGGAATGATTGACAGTATAGCCTGCTCGAAGGTGATAGTAAAGTTCAAATGGCAATGGTTGGCTAACGGGCCCAAACGCGTTCTCGGAGGTATCTTCTGCCCATGGGGCAGTGGAACTAAACGCCATTGTTGTTAGACTTCAGACAGGAACTGGCAACGGTACTAGAAAGACACAGCTGTAACACGGGGATAAATACCTTCTCTGAGATATTTTCGCATAAAATAGGTTGAGGTCAAAGGATGACGAACGCGATGTTGCCTAAGCATGGAAATGGCTATCGTGGTAGGGATCAGTCGTGCGTCTAATTTGCTGTCATCCTTACGTAGTTTTGCTCGTCGGCGGTCCAGGGCTATTCCAGGTTGCTGGACAAGCCAGCCCTGAGGGTGAGTTTATTTCAACGTTGAACCCAAAATGTGAGTTTCGTACATACCTGATCCCATTGAGGGCCATTTGATACGTAGATACAGGCTTTAAACCTCCACAGAGCCTATAAATGGGCCCCTATAAAACCCATGCAGGCGCTGATAAAGCAGACTCTGTAATCGTTGTATTACGATCTTCCACCGATCGTATGAGGTTCAAATTTCAGATTTAGAATAAGGGAAATACTACTCCGTATGGGTACGTATTTTACTCTTAAATATAATCTGATCGGTAGGGGTTGAGATATAACCGAAAGAGTGAATGTTGATGTTTTGATGTTGGATATATATCTGGGTTTCAATGGGAAGCACTACCACTTCCTAGTGAACCTCTATAATCTTATGAATTTCTTAATCAATGCGTTTTCTCGTGTCTTTTTACGTGATATAGAGAGAATGCTAGTAACTGATTCTAAATTACAAGGTTTGATAAAATATTACTTTAGGGATTAGGGTAAGAAACGGACGTAAAACAAAGGTTATTTAATTAATCCAAAAAGAGGGGTTCAACTTATCTTGGCATCCAAATTCTCGGCATGTTTGTATTGTTTGGGGCCTATTTGGGCCCCCATTAACCCACAGTGGGCTTGAGGTATAGGCTCATAGCCCATCGATAGGCCTAAGGACTGGGCCCAAAACCCAACCCATTTGCGGGTTGAGTTGGGCTGGGCTTTGGGCTTTATGGGCTCCGCTGAGGTCTAGATACAGTCCTTAACGACTCCCTAAACGCCCACCTAACGCCTCCCGGACAACCATCGCACTTGGTCCTAGAGTCACGCACGTCGCTCACGCATTTTGTACTTAGAACAACGCCTTTATCCTTTCCTTTCACTATCAGCATATATTCATTCCCATAGTGGGTGACTGAGTGGATCTTGTATAGCTTCAAATACATCAGATGCTTATCCTTCTCATCCTCTTCGCGTTTGATCCACTGGAGGCTCTGCGGCGCTAGAATAGTTGTCACGCAATTGCTTACTTCGGGGAACTAGATAGAGCTTATGTCTAATATATTTGAGTTGGTAGAGGTAGCCGGAGCTGTTCATGATTAGTGATCAGTTTGTGTAGTATGTGTGTATATCTTCCATTTTGAACAGTGCTGTAGCCTGTAGACTACCCCTGACTCCCTTTGGCTTCCTACCAACGTCGAAAGTGTCCTTGGAATTGAGATCATATCTAGCTTTTCATGGCCACCTACCAGTGATCTGCAAATACCGGGTTCTTCGCTTGGCCGTAGGGTGAAGTTTAACGTCGTTCACATGGAGAGATCGACTTCGGAGAGTAATAGAGCGAGGAAGATGAAAGAAATAAAAATAAAGAGGAAGAGGGGCTGGTAGGAAGATAAAACGAAGAGAAGGGCTAACAAAATCCACGATCCTGAGAAATCCAGGGAGAAGAGGAAAAGAACTACTTCTATTTATGAACAAACCAGGACCTGCCTGGTCTTGTGTCAGCTAGGACCCGAGGCAAGCAGGCATCCCAACACAAGGAAAGTGACACCTCGTCCAAACGACCAGCATGCCATCTCACCTCGTGACAAACAATCCCCTGGAGGAGACCCTGAAGGGGAACGAGTGGATGTTTTAGGATATGCAGATGGTTCTCAATATGGTTCTTGGACAACGAGAGGACAAAGAAGGTGATGGTGAATGAAGAGATATTCAGAACTGACCAACACGTAATCCAGTCTAAGGATGCCATCATAATTGGGAAATGTGTTTTCATGTTGTGATATGAAATCCTGTCTCCCAAAGGAGACGAACAATCCCAGGTGTTCCCATGTCGACCCGGATCAGATATTGGCTTGGTCGGGAAATTCAAAAAGTATTCTACAAGAAATACATATTCATATCTCCTATCGAGTACCAAATTTCACTCATTGTATGTGTCAAACCCTATCATGTTGCAGACACTGTACAATATCCTGCACCTGAGCAGGCCGAGGAGAAACCCCATGATCAAGTCGGAGTTGCGGTATGGAGCTAGTTCTAGGCGTCTGAGAGTAATTGAGTCAAGGATCGTGCCCAGCCGCTTTGGCCTCGCCTATTATCAAGAGGTTCTTTGGATTTACAACAAAATTCATGGTTAGCTAGATGTTCCCGAAACATGCTCGAAGAGGCTCCGGGTTCACGTGTGACGGCCGCTGATGCTTTGGTCTGCCTTCGAACCCCACAAGGAAGCAGGGAATCAAACTCAAACAAGAGAAAATCGAAGCCATGCTAGATGATTCATATGATTGAATTTTGACCTTGTCAGTTCAAGTTGGGCTGGCTGGTCTCATATATTTCCATTGATTCCACCATATCGCCGAGCTTCTGATAATTGCGCCAAGGAAATTAAACTCAGTCGCACGCTCCCCCTAACTGGGAAATTGTCCGATGTAGGTCGCAATTGAAGACAGACTTGGCTATATCTATTTTAATAGCTTCGTCCGCATCTTGCAAACAAAGATCCAAGCGGTCGCAGATCCCAAACCTACAACGTAGTATGCTGTATACTCACATTCAACAAAAATATAACTCTCAAAACAGCCACAGCGCAACACCGCAACACCGTAAGCCCGCTAGTACAAGTAATGTGCTCCATTCACAAGACTCCGGACTCCACATCGACTCGTGATCTACGAGTTTACACTCAGGTAAAGTGTAAACGTGTAAAAATCCAGTCTACTGCAATGGCTCGTGCCCGAAATCAATAATGCGCTCATGGCTCTTAGTAGCACACCTTCTATGTTGTATCCACTGTGTCGCTGTTGGAACGGGAAAGAAGCGGGAGAGGGCACTCCGTTGGAACATCTGTCCGATATGGAAATGATACTCGGATTAGGTGGGGGGGTAACTTGAGTAAACTGGGGCTTTTGAGTGGGTTATTTCCCACTGATAATGTAGTATTTTTTTCACCTCGGATCTTTTTTTTTTTGGGTGGCTTTTAGAGTGGAATCAACTATGGAGTTTTGTACTGCGTATACACGGAATACCACTTAATCAGTGTTGGTGTGTTGGAGGTGCATATGTAGGGGAGAATTGGAATGACAAGGTGAAGTAATGTGGACCTGGTGCATATTATGGAGTACATGTGCAGAGTATGTTGTAACTAACTATCTAACTAGTTAGTAGACGGGCACATCGGTATACAACATACAACATACGTTGTACACAACACGGAAGATGCAAAATTCCTGTGTGGAGAGGTACACTGTATATCACATCTGTGTGCCTCGGCATACAGAGCTTGTGGAACGATAATTGCAGGCTCGATGGAGAACGCGGTGAAGAGCAAAGCGGGTGTATATCTCCCAGGTACGAGGAGTCGAATCGGAGTTCGGAGTGATAGGCAAGATTCTGATGTCTCAAAAGTCTTAAAGCGCGTCCTGGCAATTACATTTCCTCATTTAGACTAGTCTATTAATTTTATTATGGAGAGCGCGGGAGATAACTCCAGGGCTTGAGCCCCTCTTATTTTCTTAGCAACGAAAAGGCATGGGAAAAAGTAGAATTACATTGTGGATAACTATGATTTGTTTTGTTATTTAAGCAACTATGGAGTAAATGGCCTTGGAAGCACCTCTAATCTCATGTGTAATATTGCTTACTCCATACAGTAAATTGCTATGGTCCAGAATGGCAAATCTCTATCACAGACACATGATAACTGCCGAGAATCAAGGCTAGGATCATAACCAGTGATATGATTGTGTTCCCTCGATACCCTAGAACTGGTGTGCCATCTCACTGCAGCTGTTCGTTGCATATACCCCTGCCATCAGCTGCACCGGGCTTATTCTAGCGACATCTGTATGTCAAAGCATATTGTATTAAGCTAGACATGTCGACTGTTGGACCATTATCGTAAATAGTACGGAGTAATAACCTACGGATTACTCCGTACTCCGTATACAATATACAACATACTCCATAGGAAATAGTTAGTCAATATGGAGCAGCGTAGTATACAATATACGAGGGGCAGCCCCTCAGGATCAGCCCCTGCATGTGTATGGAGTACAATATGGATCCCCAACTCATTGATCTTTTTGACTTTCCCTTGTTGGGAACAAGATCAGCGTACTAAGGAGATCAGCACCTGAGTTATGAAAAGGCGCGAGTGCATAGACCAAGAATGTGGAACTTGTGACGGTCGAGTACAACATACCGAGGAGAAACGGGAGAAAAAAGAGCTAGTTGCAAGTAAATTGAGTAAATTGGGTAAATTGGGTAGCTGAAAGGGATTTTCGTAGGTTTTGGGAGTAATTTCGATCGATTCCGGGCCAAGGAATGTGATTGGTCCAACCTCTCTGAGGAGAACCACGTTGGCTTGACCGCTAGGCGCCGTCATTATCTCTCTTTGACTCAAACCATCTCCCCTCCCAACATCCACAACATCCACACCCAACAACCTGGGTTTTCTACTCCGCCACCAGTCATACGTTTGACTTCAGACGGATAAGGAATGTGCCCCCCCCTCTACTCCGTACTAAACCTGGACCTTGCGTGGCGTCAGGACCCAACATATCCGAGGATGGCAGCCTGCATTTATGATTGCGCCCGATACTCCGTATACATCTTTGACTTTGGGATCTGGTTATGGTTCGTAGAGTTAAAAGTCGATGACGAAGGATAACCGTGAGGCTGCAGCCTTCATCGTGCATCGTGCATTAGACCTTACGTGTTCTGTCCAGGCGTCTATGTTGTATATCCCAAGGTG